AATATAATAATTAACAAACATATTATGTTCTACATTTCTAAGTTTACATTCATAATTATTTTTTGATAGACTCCAGGCTTTTTTCAGTTTTATTCAGATAATATTGACAAACAAAGTAGTAACATATATAAAGTGTACAACGTGATGATTTGGTATATGCATAACACGATCAAGTAACACCCATTATCCCGTGTACTTATCTTTTTGTGTGTGTGTGTGAACACTTAAGTTCTACTCTCTTAGCAAATTTAATTATACAATACAGTATTATCAACTAGAATCACCATGTTATACATTAGATCTTCAAATCTTATTAATCTTATAACTGAAAGTTTGTAAACTTTTACCAGCCACTTCTCAGTTAAACCACCATTAACCACTGGCAACCACCATTTTACTCCATTTCTATGAATTTGACTTTAAAAAAATTTTTTTTTGTAGATTTCATATATAAGTGATACCATGCAGTATTTAGCTTTCTCTGTGTGGTTTATTTCACTTAATATAATGCTCTCCAGTTTCTTCCATGTTGTCACAAATGGCAGGATTTCTTTTTTTTTTAAAAGGCTGAATAATATTCCTTAGTGGATATATACCACATTTCTTTATCAATTCATCTATCAACAAACACTTCAGTTGTTTCCATACCTTGGCTGTTGTCAGTAGCCTGCTACAAACATGAGAATATAGATATCTCGTCGAGATAATGATTTCATTTCCTTTGGATGGATATCTACCCAGAAGTGAAATTGCTGGGTCATATGGTAGTTCTCTTTTTAAATTCTTGAGGAACCTATGTACTGTTTGTCATAGTGGCTGCACCAGCTCCCACCGATAGTGTATAAGGATTTTCTTTTCTCTACATCCTCAGCAACACTTATTATCTCTTGTTTTTTTTGTTCATAGCATTTCTAATAGGTGTGAGGTGATATCTTATTGTGGTTTGGGTTAGTATTTCCCTGATGTTTAGTGATATTGAGCACCTTTTCATATACCTGTTGGCCATCTGTATGTTTTCTTTGGAAAAATGTCTACTCAGGTCCTTTGCCCATTTTTAAATGGGATTATTTGTGGGGTTTTTCTGTTGTTGTTGTTGTTTTGTTTTGCCTCTGAGTTCTGTGAATTATTTGTATATTTTGAGTATTAACTCCTTATGGAATATGTGATTTTCAAATATTTTCTCCCATTCCGTATGTTCTTTCATTTTGGTGATGGATTCTTTGCTGTACAGAAGATTTTAGTTTGATGTAGTCCCAATCGTTTATTTTGCTCTGTTGCCTTTGCTTTGCTATCAAATCCAAAAAGTCATTGCTAAGACCAAGCTAAAGGAGCTTACGTTTTCTAAGTTTTCTTCTAGGAGTTTTACAGCTTCAGGTCTTACATTCAAGTCTTTAATCTATTTTGAGTTGATTTTTGTGTATAGTGTAAAATAGGGATCCAGTTTAATGCTTTTGCATGTGGATATCCAGTTTTCACAATATCATTTCTTGAAGAGACTATTTTCCCCATCGTATATTCTTGGCACCTTCGTCAAAAAATGATTGCATGGGTTTATTTCTGGGTTTCCAATTCTATCCCATTGATCTGTTGATTTTTAGCCAATACCATACTGCTTTGAATAATATAGCTTTGTAATATAGCATGCGATGAGGAAATGTGATGCCTCCAACTTTGTTTTTTCTCAAGATTGCTTTGGCTATTCGGAGTCTTTTGGGGTTCCATAGGAATTTTTAGGATTCTTTCTATTTCTATGAAAACCGCCATTAAAATTTTGATAGGGATTGCATTGAATGTGTAGATCATTTTGAACAATATTGATTTATCCAGTCCATAAACACAGAATATCTTTTATCTGTGTCTTTAATTTCTTTCTCTCATGTTTTATAGTTTTCAGTGTATAGAACTTTTACCTCCTTAGATAAATTTATTCCTAAGTGTTTTATTGTCTTCAATGCTATTGTAAATGGAATCGTTTTTTAAATTTTTCTTTCAGATATTTCATTGTTAGTGTATAGATGCAAATGATTTTTGTATATTGATTTTCTGTCCTGTACTTTACTGAATTTGTTTTTAGTTCTTAACAATTTTTAGCGGAGTCTTTAGGGTTTTCTATGTGTAATATGTCATCTGCAAACAGAGGCGATATTACTTCTTCCTTCCCAGTTTGGATGGCTTTTATTTTTTACTCAATGATATGGTTAGGACATCCAGCACTATGTTGAATAAAAGTCGTAAGAGTGGGCATCTCTGTCTTGTTCCTGATCTTAGGAAAGGTTTCAGTGTTTTACTGTTGAGTGTGATGTTAGCTGAGGACTTGTCCTATATGGACAGAATACTGTAATGGTAAAGAATACAGGCTTTATAGCTAGACTGCCTGAATTAAAATCCTAAATCCTAGCTCTGCCCCTTATAGGTATAACTATGAGAAGTTATTTCCCAGGAACCTGCATTTTCTTACCTATAAAATGAGGATAACAACTGTACTTATCTCAATGGATTTCTCTCTCTTTTTTTTTTGCATTATTTTTAATTTTAAAGCTCAAATTTTCCCAAATTAGACCAATAAGACCCTGTAGAGGCAAACTTCCTGACTGTGTCTTTTGAATATGTTCATTAATTAAAAAAAAAAAAGCTTTATCGAGACATAATTTATATACCATACAATTCACCCATCAGTATCTTATTATTATTTTTTTACTGGTAAATAATCTTCTGCTTAATTAATATATCACTTTTTCTTTATGCATTCATCAGTTGATGTACATTCGGGTTGTTTTCATTTTGGGGTGATTGCGAATAATGCTGCTATGACATGTATGTGTAAGTATATTTTCATTTTGAGGGGAGCACATACCTAGGAATGGGATTTCCGGATCATGTGGGAACAGTGTCTGACATTTTAAGGAACTGCACCCGAGCACCTTCCGAAGCAGAGGCACGGTTTTTTGCAGTCCCATTAGCAACGAATGAGGGGTTCCATTTTCTACTATCCTGTCAACATTTGTTATTATCTGTTTTTTGTTTGTTTTTTTGTTTTTAGCTACCCTAATGGGTGTGAAGTGGTACCTCGTGGTTTTTATTTGCATTTTTGTAATAATTAATAATATGGAACATCTTTTTGTGTGCTTACTGGCCATTGGCATATTGTCTTTGGAGAAATGTCTATTCAAGCACTTTTGCTCATTTTAAAATTATGTTACTTGTTTTTTAATTGTTGAGTAATAAGTGTTCTTTATATATTCTGGATGTGAATTCCTTATAAGATATACAATTTGCAAATATTTCCTCCCATTGCATGGTTATCTTTTCACTTTTATGATGGTATCTTTTGAAGCACAAAAGTTTTTGTTTTACAAAAGTTTTAAAATTATGATTAAATCCAATGTGTCTATTTTTTCTTTAGTCACGTGTGTTTAATGTAATCTCTTAGAAGGCTTTGTCTAACCCAAGATCATGAAGATTTACTGTTAGATTTTCCTCTAAGAGTTTTATAGTTTTAGCTCTTATATTTGGATTTATGATCCACTTTGAGTTCATTTTTTATGTGTGGTGTGAGGAAAGAGTCCAACTTTATTTTTTTTTGTATGTGGATATCTAGTTGTCCCAGTACCATTTTTGAAACTCATTGAGTTTTTAGGAGTATCAAAAAAAATTAAAATATTCAAAGCACTTAGAGTAGTACATGGGGATGCATAGCAGCCTTGAGTAAATATTAGTTTTATTATTTTATCATGTATTATACTAAATTGTCATTATATGTCCACTTATCTTTCTCTCCCAAGAGACTCTCTTAATCTTTGTACCTATGTCCCTGGCCCAGTACCCACCAAACAGTACATGCTGAATAGATTTTGTTAAATGGATGACTTATAAATAAGGCTTCTCTGTTCAGGCAATTAGTGGGTAAAGCACGGGCCAGGTGCCAGTTTCAAGACTGACAATCTATTGTGCTAGATTTGGGTCCCAACCAAAGGGCCTCTCAAAGTTAGAACATGTTAACAGTGTCGGCCCTCGGGCATCTCTGCAGAGAGCACAGCATACAACCCCAGGCTGCAGATCACCTTGGAGAATTAGAATCTCCTCAGTACATTTTTCACTCCCATGTCTCCCTTCCCATCTGTTTGCTTCTTCCTTCCCTTGACCCTGAGCATGAGCTCATGGAATGGGATCGCTCTCTAATATCAGTCTCAGCCAAATCTTCTTTGCCGCATCCTTGGGCTTTTGATCCCTAGAAGTTAAAGGTGCACGACTTACTCCCCACCCCTTAACAGTCTCCGTCTACGTTCTTTTCCCCACATGATCTCATCCAGTTTAATGACTTTAAATGCCATGTTCGTTTGATGACTCCCAAACCTGTTACTCCAGCCCTCACTCTTCACTGAGGTCCGGACTTGAATTTCAATAGTCTGCCTCATGTCTTATCTTAAATATGTAACAGGCATCTCACACTTAACATAACCCAAACAGAGTTTCTCCCATAAACATATTTTTCTCTCAGTCTTTCTCAGCTAAGTAAATAGCTCCATAAAATTCTCTAAGTTACTGAAGTGAAATATTTAGGATCCATCTTTGATTCCTCTTTCTATACTTGTTGCTTATATACTAAACATCTCGAGAATGATCTGATGGGGAGAGGTGTATTTACAAGGTCCAGAGGCGGAATAATAAAGATGGAACTCAGTCACAGATTCCCTAAGAAGCCCTCTACGTTGGTATTAAATTAACCACGGCAGCATGCGGGAAAAACTAGGGGAGGCAAATCAGGGGCAGTTGGCAGGCCGAGTGGTAACTGAGCCCAGGGGAAATTTGCATTCTCGCCGAGCCAAGCTCGCCTTTCCACCAAAGCCGGAGCATCCTCCTTCTAAGTGAGCTCTGGCTCAGATGCACAGCCTGAGCCTTCTTCTCTCACCCCCAGGAAAGATCAGAAAAGGGGCTGTGGGCGAGGGTAGGGAGGTGGCCCGGGACCAAGGCACCGGGTGGCGACCCGAGGAAAGACTGCAATGCAGCCAGCACTCACGTCCCTCTTCATGCTGCTCTTTTTCCTGCTGTGTCTCCTGGGAATCCTGGCCAATGGGTTCATCGTGCTGGTGCTGAGCAGAGAGTGGAGGCAGCGTGGACGGCTGCCCCCCTCGGAACTGATCCTCATTAGCCTGGGCGCCTCCCGCTTCTGCCTGCAGTGGGTTGGACTGGCGCACAACTTCTACTACTTCCTGCGCCTGGTGGACTATTCCAGGGGCCCAGCGCAGCAGCTCTTCGGTCTGCACTGGGACTTCCTGAACTCGGCCACCTTCTGGTTCGGCACCTGGCTCAGTGTCCTCTTCTGCGTGAAGATCGCTAACCTCTCCCACCCCACCTTCCTCTGGCTGAAGTGGAGGTTCCCGGGGTCTGTGCCCTGGCTGCTGCTGGGTTCCCTCCTGGTGTCCTCCATCGTCACCATGCTCTTCTTCTGGGGCAACCGCGCCGTGTACCTCGGTTTCTTCATTGGAAGGTGTTCTGGAAACATGACCTACAAGGAGTGGAGCAGGTGGCTGGAAATTCACTATTTCCTGCCCCTGAAATTTGTCACGTTGTCAGTCCCTTGCTCTGTCTTCCTGGTCTCGACGGCACTGTTGATTAATTCCCTAAGGAGACACACTCGGATGATGCGGCACAATGCCCACAGCCTGCAGGACCCCAGCACCCAGGCTCACACCAGGGCTCTGAAGTCACTCATCTCCTTCCTTGTTCTCTATGCTCTGTCCTTTGTGTCCATAGTCATCGATGCTGCAGGCTTCTTCTCCTCAGACAGTGACTGGTACTGGCCGTGGCAAATTTTAATGTACCTGTGTACATCTGTCCATCCCTTTATCCTCATCCACAGCAACCTCAGGCTTCGAGGGGTGTTCAGGCAGCTACTTCTATTGGTCAGGGGCTTCTGGGTGGCCTAGGTGGCATGGTCTCCCTATCCAGACCCCCAGAAGGGACTTGGGTGAGGATGATAGAACCACGGGCTGCTTACCTGGAGACACCATCATAGGTGGATGAGTACTGGATCGTGCTGTGGGGTCCCTCCTTTGGGAAGGAGGGAGAGAGTCAAATCTGGGAACTCTGAGCATCATACCTTCCTTTGGGCCCCATATTAAAATGGGGACCCATGGGTCCCAGAAAGCCAGTATTGTCCAGAAGGTCAGAATATAACATTTTGCGCTACTGTCTCTGTGTCCTCTCTGTTGCGTAGAAGCCTTCAGTTACAGAGTCTGGAGCCGGTGTACTGCCTTGTACTATCTGTGTACTATCTTGACAGCCTGCTGGGGAATGAAGAGAACATGTGTCTTCGACTGGATGAGGGTGTGGATGGGGACAGTGTCATGCTTACTACCAGGGAATAGTAGTTGTGGCGGCCGGTGGCCAGAGCTGTGAGGTCTAGTAGCCCTTCCTTCTATAGAGATTTCTTCTTCTTGTCAAACGTGGATAATTTCATTTTAATTTTATTAAAACAACTGCAAAGTTTATTTATACTGTCCCATCTCTTTTCTCATTAGTATTTCCATTGTTCTGCCTTTGATTTTCTCCTCTCTGAAGTCTGAGTGGCAGCCAGACTTTTTCCATGTTTATTCTTCCATTAGAATCACACATTGTGATTTTCTCCTTTGTCAAATTGTCTCTGGAACTTTCTTTTTTCCCCTCAAGTAAATGTCACAAAGTCACATGTGAATTGAATAAACATGTATTTTTTTGTTCTGAAAAACAAAGACTCAAGAATTTCACTTAGTTTGTGTCCAAAAACTATTTAACCTCTTAAAAAAAAAAAAGAATCACCTTGTTAAATCTTACATTTAAATGTTGTTTTAAAATAGCTTGCTCCAATTACTGTGCAAATGTTTTTAGAAATAATTTGTAGAAAATACTAATTAGAGCTGGGTGTCTTTAAGGCAGGCTCAAAAGTTTTCGCTAAAGGGCATCAATGTGCAAATTTCACATACTAATTTGCAAATGGCTTCTTGATAGGGAGAAATTTCAATCTCCTCTGAGAGGGAAAACAATTTCCCTACCAATTAGGGTGTATGCTGCTTGGTGGATCCATACTCATAAACTACATTTTTGGGGCAAGTTATTCTACACTTTTATTTTAAACATTTATTTTTTAATAGGTGAAAAATTCAAAATGTACTAAGGAGTATAATATAAAAATATCCCTCTTACTTTTTTTTTACTTCTGAGACATTCTTATTTATTTATTTATTTGTCTGTGTTGGAGATACTTTATAGCAGAAAGCCACTAATACCTAGCTAACAAACCAGTCAACTAATTTAGATATACACCAGTAGCTAACTAACCAACTAACTTATCAACTGTTTTACCCATGTCTTTCTACACAAATAGTTGCATAATATACATGCTATTCTGTGGGTCACAGGTGGCCACACAGCAGTCATAGGCCATAGCGACCAGCAGCCAGCAGCAGGAGCTCGGTCCCTTACAGGGCCAGCAAGAAGTAGAACAGGGTCCCATGTTGAGCAAGGAGATTGTCTGCGAGCGTCTGCGGAACCCCGCTGGAGGTGTAGCAGATGTCCACCCCTGAGAGGCCGTGGAGGAAGAAGTACATGGCAGGTGTAGGCAGGCGTCCAGTCGGATCAGGACGATGATGAGCCCGTTGCCCAGCAGGGTCAGCAGATACGTGGCCCCAAACAGGATGAAAAGTCCAGCCTGGGTCTGCCTGTCACTGGAGAACCCCAGTAGGACAAACTCACCCACCCGGCTGGCCTCCCCATGGGGCAGTTGGGTCAGGCTGTTGCAGGAGGCAGTGGTTGGAGAGGTCAGAATCAGAATCCACAGTCTGGTACTGAACAAAGGACTTTAAATGGGAGTGCAAGGACTTGTGTGTTTTCTCCATTAGACTCTGAGCTTCTTAAAGTCAGGGGTCTTTTCTGATTTTTCTTTTAATAGAGAGATTCCTAACAAATGTTTTACAATAAAACATTTTTGTTAGGTGCATGAATAAAAAAGAGTTAAAAGGTCTTGAGTCTTGTTCTCTGATCCCAAGATGTAGGGCTGGGATTCCCCTTTGTTCTTATTCCTCAGGCTTGAGCCAGCGCTTCTTTCTGCTTCTCCCATAAGCCAGGCGGGGTCAGTGATAGAGAAAACTATAATTATGTCCCAGCTTCTTGCGATTACGCTATTTCCTTGGCGAATTGCTGGCATTTATTTGAATGTTAAAGTAAGTGATTAATAAAAGATGAATGCACACATCTCTTAACTTGCAGTGACAACATTTGGAAACTGACAGTGCCCGCGGATGAAGTCAGTGAGGGAGTGCCTCTAAAACCCTTTGAGCTTTGTTATGTATAAACCCTTCTGTCAAAGCAAAGACGTGCTTGCCCTTGGAACACCTCCCTGTGTATTTTGCTGGTCTTTCGCCTCTATCAGAGGATAAAGATGCCATTTATTTTTTTGTTAGTATGAATGTACTAAGCAACGTTATAGTCTTCATTTCTCTGTTTATTAGCAGCAAGTCCCCGTAGCCCCATTTCAGTATTCGCCCCGTGTGCCTTCGTGACAGGGTGGGAGAAAGTAAAGTCACTGGCTAGTGTGAGTGTAGGGAGAGACCACAGGGACAGCAAGGGTCCAAGTGTGGGAAAAGCCCACCTGAATGCCCATTGGGGAAGCTGGAGAGGGAAGAGAAAAACTCCGGGTGATAAGATTCTCCTACGAAAAGCCCACAGAATTTTGGTGGCTCCCAGAGCAGTGCTTTCCACATTGGGCGACACGTTAGAGTCACCTGGGATGCTTTGACTCCTCCAGAAGCCCAGACCACACTCCAGAGTAATTAAATTAGAATCTCAGGTGGGTAGAACCCAGATATTAGCATAATAGTCACTTTTAATGTTTCCTAGGTAATTAAAATGTTAGGTTAAGTCTGAGAACTACTGCGGTAGAGGGAATCGTTCAGCTTATTTTCGAAGATTCAAGACATGGTTTTTGAGAGAGGGTTGTGTTTTGTGATAAGCCTAGAAGAGTCTTTGTGAAGGAAAGATCTTTTGGGCTAGCGTTGTTATTCTTTGTTGGAAGAAGTTGAGGCCAAGAGAGTTTGAACGGTTTGCCTCAAATCTCACTGTGAATCAGTGAAAATGTGATCCAGATTATCTTGGCTTTGGTGTGCTGGGTCTTCCCTTAGCCTTTGCTTCCTGAGGTCTGGTCCAAAAACAACATTTTAGAATATCTTAGATCCAGGGAAGTACTAGTTAGTATCAAATGGGGGTAATGTATGAGAAAGCCCTTCGCAAGTTTCAGAGCATTCTCTAAATGAAAAGGATTTGAATTAAGGACATGAGAGGTGGGACACAGAATCTAGTGAAATAGAAATGAAAACAATTCAACCCAAGCCTTTCTATCAGGGTTTGAAGATAGAGCTCGAGGTTGGATGGGAGTGAAGAGGGCAGAGCAGATGGATGCTGTCCTCTGTCTCTCCTGGATAGTTGGAACCTACCCTTTCCTTCCTTCTAGTCCTTCTGTGGCAGAAGGCGTCACTGTAGAAAATGCGAAGAGTAGAAACAGGCTTCGGTGCAATACCCAGTGGCTGGGTGGTTTCAGAGTCCGCTCTGCGATGCCGCCTCAAGCATGACTCCACGCAGAAGGGTCCATTAAGGGACTAGTCGTTCCCCGCACCCCCCACCCCGATTCGTGAGTGTCCTTTAAATATGTTGAATGTCTCTTTAAAGAGACAAGACCCACCCTGCCCTCTCCTCCCCACCCCCAATCTACATTCTAAAACTCAAACAATGGGGAGGTAGAAAAGTATTTTGGACTCCTCCCCACTTTTTCTACCCTGTAATTTAATGAATTGATGCCTTCTTTGGATAAACTAGATGTATGTGCTCCTGCTGTGGAGAATAGAATATAAGAATTATGTACATAAAACATACACGAAATATATATTTTAATTATCATCATTAGAAGGTGTCAATAGATCACCGTCCCAACTATATCAGTAATATTTAGGTAAGAGATGCCTTATTCTGATGTTTTAATGTTGTTCTTGAAAATATTTTTCTGGTCCTGAACATTTGACTTTTTGGCCAGCCATCTGCCACCGCTGCAAGTCTGAGCGGGAAGCATGCAGAGTGACGTGCATGTGACTCACACACGGTCCAGTCCTGCTCATCAGGTCTGTGGGCTCCGTGCTGCACGGTGGCTCCAAGTCCCTGTGTGAATCCTCCACCCTGCCGAGCTGTGCGAGTTGCACAGGTGGCCTTTGCACCTCTGGCTTACGGCCGGTTTGATCCCATTGGCACAGTGAATTTTGTAGCTTATAGCTTCCTCTCCCTTCTCGCTGATTGCAGAAAAGCTTAGACATGTAGTTGTAAATTTTAGCAAGGAAATTGATTTGCTTGGCATAAGTTTTGTGGACTGCCCTGACTTCTGACTTAATCTTTCTTTCTAATTCATATATGCCAGTATATAAATATATATACATTTCCATTTAATTTCCATTTAATTTAATTTACTGTAGGATGTGTGTATTTCTAAGTTGTTGTTATTCACATTGTTTTTAGATGTAAGTCAGAGACCAGAAATAGAGTTCAGAGACAAAATTCCATTTCTCTGTTACCTCAAAGGATAGAATTGCCAATTGTGGTCCTCCCATGTGCTCCCGTACACACACACACACGCACACTATATGGAAGGCACGCCCCAGTGCCCACTGTCTTCAGAGTGAGACCCTCTGTTGACAAAGTCACATTCTAACGCTTTGATTCAGAGCTGCCCGTCAGAACCCGGCTCAGAGCAGCCTGCATCTCCTTGTTCCGTAGACTGTAGATGAGCGGATTCAACATGGGGGTCACTACAGCATAAAAGAGCACCACCACCTTCTCCTGGCTGGCTGAGGCTGTGGAGCGGGGCTGAATGTGGGTAACCAGGGCCATCCCGTAAGACATGGAGACCACGGTGAGGTGGGAGGCGCAGGTCCCGAAGGCTTTGCGGCGTCCCGCCGTGGAGCGGATCTGTAGGATGGCGGCCACGATGCAGGCGTAGGACAGTGAGACCAGGCAGCAAGGCACGAGCAGCACCACCACGCTGGAGGCCACGATGGCTGCCTGGTTGAGAGTGATGTCCACGCAGGCCAACCTGACGAGTGCCAGTGTCTCACAGGCCACATGGTTCAGCACATTGTGCCCGCACGTGGGCAGGCGTATGGTGACCGCTGTCTCCACTGCAGAATTAGCTATGCCCACGAACCAAGAGACCGCTGCCAGCACCGCACAGCGCCTTGGGCCCATGACTGCCACGTAGCGTAAGGGGTCACAGACCGCCACGTAGCGGTCATAAGCCATAGCAGCCAGCAGCAGGAACTCGATCCCCCCCAGGGCCAGCGAGAAGAAATGCTGGGTCCCACACCGGGCAAAGGAGATGGTCTTCTTCTCCAAGAGGAAGTGCACCAGCATCTGCGGGACCCCGCTGGAGGTGTAGCAGATGTCCACCACCGACAGGTTGCAGAGGAAGAAGTACATGGGCAGGTGCAGGCGGGTGTCCAGTAGGATCAGGACAATGATGAGCCCGTTGCCCAGCAGGGTCAGCAGATACGCGGCCCCAAACAGGACAAAGAGTCCCGCCTGGGTCTGCCTGTCATTGGAGAGCCCCAGTAGGACAAACTCATCCACCCAGGTCAGGTTGTCCCTCCCCATGGGGCAGGTGGACCAGGCTGCAGGGGGAGGAGCAGAGTCAGAGACGGGCAAGAACAGGTCGCACTTTCGAAGTTTGGATTAGGCGGACTGTAGCTGGAACCTGGCTGCCTTCTCGCAAGTCCCTTAACCTAGGTGCGTAGGGGAGATGGCAAGGAAGGTGCTGGAGAAAGGGGCAGCTGGGTCCTCACACTAAACCGTGAGATTCTCAAGGATAAAGTCCCCGTCCCGGTCATCTTCGTAGTTCTAGGATCCAGCACAGCTGGTTATATGGGAGATAATCTGTCAGCGCAGGAGGGAAGATAGGGAAAAACAGTGCTGCAGGAAAGACAGAGAGATAGACGGAAGGGGAAAAAGTAAAAGAGAAGGAGAAATGAAGGAAGGGAGATAGGAAGTGGATAAGGAGGGAAGGAAAGTGGAAGACAGGAAAGAAAGAAAGGATTCTTCAGTGTGGGGGCGCAGTGGGTGAGGTGTTCCTAAAAGGCTGGATTCAGTTGCTCTTCGTGTTTCTTCTAGGGTCCAGTCTAGGTTACTGCCCGGAAAGGGATCCCCTCATATCATTCTCATTGGGTCCATCGGTCCAGACGAAGTTTAAGTCCTTTAAACCAATACCTGTTCAGACCCTGCATGTGCCAGGCACTGTGGTAGACACCTGACTGTGAACAAGAGAGGAAGAAAGCACGATCCCGCTTTCTTGATTCTCATGATTTAATCAGAAACACAGAGATTAAATTAATAATGACAAAAATTAATTAAATATAATCGTGCTAAGTGCTATGAAGAACAGGTTAGTAGTTAGTTAAATTTGCAGCTGTAATTACATTACCACTGAAGTTGTGCCTTCTCTCTTAATAACGTTCAATGTATATAGTAAGTTGCAGGCATTTATTTTGGTGTTTAAATAAACGATTAACAAAATAATGTAATGAGAGCATTTGGAAGCCAATGATACTCACATATTACTACTGAGTGTGAAGTAATTGAAATCCACTGAATTTTTTTCAGAGGGAGTGAATTCTCCTTTCTCAGTTAAGATTGCTCTGGGTGATGATCTCCATTCCAAAGTGTCAACCAGCCATCAGTTTTTCTTAATACAAATGGAAGCTCAAGGCGTAGTTCCTGCTCTGAAAATAATTAATAAATTAATTAACTCATTTATTAAAATTATTTTTGAGTATAGGAGGCACTGTGTTTTCAACCAGGGTCTGGGAAATGCTGGCTTTTGACACTAGGAATTTGTGTTAAGGAAATCGGCAGTGCCACAGAATTAAATTTAAAAATTTTTAATTGGATCTTGGTGAAATATTTGAGAATGAAATGAGACAGCCATACAGAGGATGCATGCAGTGCATCAGAAAACTAGAGGGGAGCCCCAGAATCAAACACAATAGAGTTGAAAAGCATACTCCAAGGCAGATTTCTTCTGGTGCGAGTGGTGGCCTGGACTCTTAGTGGAAGGAAGGAGCAGAGAACCTGGATGGAGCAGGCATCTCTTGCCTTCTATTCAGCCCTGGCCTTGCAGTAGCTGGAAGGTGTCACCATAAAAACTGCTAACACTAGAAACTGGCTTTGTGTTCTCAGGGTTGGAGACTGGGTTCTAGGGCCAGGGCGTGGTAGCTGGTGGATGGCTGGGGTTCTGAGCACGGCCCCAGAGAGCCTGTGGTTGCCCACAGAGCCTGGTCCTTGTCTCGGCATAGGAAGTAATTCAGCTCTGATCTGCTGTGGCCCAGATGCTGCTGTTAAAACGTGCAGAGATTTCACCTTCAGAGTCACTGTTATGGGTCAAGGGTCCCTCCAGAAGAGCTCTGGTACTATATAGAAAATTTAAAAAGTGTTAGAAATGAAAGGAGTCATAGAGATCATGTTTCCCATCCATTTCATTTTATAGCTGAAGAAACCAAGGACTTTTTGTCCCGGTACCTATTTTCTCAATAAATTTTTGATGCTGTTTTTAGATGATGATAAACTATTTTTATTAATAAGTAGCCTTGTCCTCCGATTTTGGAGGTGATTAGCAAATTTCATTCCACTTTGCCTGACTTAATGAATATTTACTGGGCACTGAGTAGTGCCTGGTCCAGTGGCAGGCACTGGGATACCAGAGATCAATACAGCCTCGTCTCTCCATCCAGGAACTCAGCCTAGTAGGAGGACAGAGAGAATGAGCTATGGTCTTATCAGAGTTTTCAGAGGAAGCTCAAGTATCAAGTCTGGTAACTGGAGACGAAGAGTTAGAGTATGTAAATATAGAGACATAGAGTTAGAATATGTAAATAGCCAGACAGTAAACAATAAAGTAAAAGTAAAGGAACAACTAGTCCATTTGCTTCTTAAAAAAAGTAGATGAGGTTTAAGGTGTATACCGATCGGTAATTAGGAGACCTGCGTTCCAACTTGTATCAATCAACCATCTAGGTATCACTATAAACTCCTACCTTTCTGAACCATAGTTTCTTCATCTGCACAATGAGCAAGTTAGGTAAACACTAGGATTTCTCCCAGCTCTAAAGGTCTGTAAGAAATAAATGTGCATAAACTATAGTTTCAAGCAGTATAAAGAGAGAAAAAGAAATTCTTCAGTCTTTGATCCCTCTAAGTATATATAGCTAGTGGGACTAGAGGCATTAACACGTTATGGGTCACCGGGTTGGGAATCAGAGCATTCATATCACAGAAAGCTCTTTGGGGAGGTGTCAACAAACGAGACCAGGCTGACTCGAAAGCCAGAGGTGAGGAAAGCGCAGTGGAGGACCTCAGGGCAACGTGGCCGCCCCTCCCGACCTTCCCCGTGGCAGACTCACGAGGCTCAGGGCTCCTCTTGTGCACGGAGCTCATTTGGGGTGGGGAGGAAGCCCATCTCTCAGGAAGTCCTTGAAGCAGCTGTCTGTCCTCTTCCTGGGAAAGGAGGTTTTACTTTGTCGGCCTTAGCTGAGAACTTTTCAGAACCTGAGAATCCCCAGAGGGCAATTACTTGCTCTTGGTGTGTTTCTTTACTCACCCTCCCACCCCACCCCAGGCAAACACACCTCCTCGCTCTTATAAGTTCCCGATGGGATAAACATTCTGGAAATGTTTTATTTCAACTTTTAATTGTTCTTTTAGTTACCAGGCTCTGAGCCCTTCCATGACTCTTTGGGGTATCTCACTGCCCTTCAAGCCTATGGCATTGCTGGGGACTTTTGGCAGGTGTCAGGAGGCAGGAAGAAAGTCTCAGAGCCTGATCTCCTTCCTCAGGGAAGAAGATGGATGCATCTTCTCCCTTCCTTCCACGTATCGAGTTTCAGTAACCAGGGAGCGGTGAGTAAGCATCGCATGGTAGAGTCATCCTGTCCATGGCCTGGAAGCTATCGAGAAGTCCCAAGTTCACAGTCATTAAAACATTTCTACAGGCCCCTTGGCGGTCCTCCATATCACATTGCTGTTGAGTTTTGTGTGTGTGTGTGCGTGTGTGTGTGTGTGTGTGTGTGTGTGTGTGTGTGTGTGTGTGTGTGTGTGTGTGTGTGTGTGTGTGTGTGTGTGTGTGTGTGTGTGTGTGTGTGTGTGTGTGTGTGTGTGTGTGTGTGTGTGTGTGTGTGTGTGTGTGTGTGTGTGTGTGTATGTGTTTGGCATATTCTTCTACCACCAGAAGATTTCTAGCTTTCACTAAGCTTGATCTCCCAGTTTTTGATCCTCTTCCACAAAGTTTTAATGTCTTCACTGGAATCACTTGAAGGAACAGAGAAAACAATGAGTCAGGATGAGGATTTACTCCCAATATTTACCTATCTGTTTCTATGTAATAGAACATGGATCTTTGATAATATGAGAAGAAAAAAAACAGACACATCTTTATCCACTAACTCTCTAGAATATTTTTGCTAATAACTGTCCAGTATTAGCAAGATACAGGTTTAATTACCTTGAAGATTTGTCACCCTTTGGGACAATAGGTTGGGGAATGGCAATTTCAGTTTATGGTCTTCTTTTCGCGCAGGACATGTAGGATTTCAGGTTTACCTCTGCTCCGTCCACCATCCAGTTAAGCCCAGAACCCAAAGGACCTGGAGCTCTTCCAACCTGAAAGTCCCTTAAAAGCAAAAACTGATGGAACCTTCAGACCGAGAGTTGGAGCCCAGAGCTGAGGGGACACAGTAGAGGTATAAAGAAATCCGAAGGCATCGTGAGGGAGAAGAGAAAGGAAGTGGCACCCACGAGGTGGGATTCCAGATGCAAATAAGGTCGAGTTAGTATGAACTGATGTAGGCGAGTCAAAGGGAAGGGAAAAGAACTGTTGGATGCCATTTCCCGGACAACGCAGTGTGTGATCATCTGATACAAATGTTTCTTTGCTGGTCAAACAAAAATGCGTCTTTCCTCCTTTTCCAAATGCTAAGGTTACAGAAGGTGTGTAAATGTGTAACGGGATGAAAAAAGGGTTAGAAAATAGTAGGTTCGGTATGATCCTGAATTGCAAAGAATAATATACAGGTATTTGGATGTATATAATGGCAGGAACGTAGAGAAAGAACTGTTCATTAAAAGGATGATCATCAAAATATCAGTGGGTTATCCCTGGTACAGATGTATAGCTATTTTTCTTTTCTCCTTTTTGCTCCTCTGTATTTTGAAAAGGGTCTACAATAAACATTTTTCTAATATGAATCCAAATGAAAATTTAAAATTTTATATAGATATGTCATGTTGAGATAGGGTGCTCAGAAATCAACTCCCTGGCCTAATGTCCAACACTGCTGAGTGGGCTTTGGACAGCGCGTGTGAGTGTGAAGGGATGGAGGGGAGGTAACATTAAAATTCCTCTTCAGTGAAGTAGCCGAGACCACAGGTTTCGAATCATTTGTACCAGGAAAGGTAAATCTGCAGATATTGTACTGTGCATACACTCTGGGCTAGGGACAGGATAATCGGTGTTTGCTCTGGCTTTGGTATAAATGGCTCCGTGACTTTTGGCATGTCATTTAATCTCCCTGAGTCTCACTGTCTTCATCTGTGAAACAGGTTTGATTAGACCACTAAAGATCCCTGCAGGCCTGGAAGCCGACGTCTTCCAGTGCGGACGGTATGGTACTCTCCTCTTACCCTGGGTACTGGGGTTCGAGCCTGGAGTCAGATCGTCATGGGTTCCCAACCGCTGTCTGAGGAGATAGGAGTCATTCTCTCCTTTAAGCCCGATTCCCCGACAGAACCAACACTTTACGCGCTGTTGAGACCCCTCGCTCTTGGAGAAAATCCCCTTCCTGCAGTGATGGTGCAGCCCAGACCTGCTGTCTGGCTGAGTCTTTCTCATTGCGCCTTTGCAACTGCCCCACCCCTGCTCGCTTCCTGAGCTCCACCTTCACCCAAGCGTCTGCTTGCCCCAAGGCTTTGCGTTGCAAGGGCGAGTTTGCTTCACTTCCAGGGAACTAGTACTACATCTGGTTCTCCTGCATCTGGTTCCCCTTTCAGTTCTTTCTGCTTCTTTTTATAACCAGAATCAGCATTTCC